AAAAAAAGGAAAAAAAGGAAAAAAAAAAAAGAAAATGAACCCTCCACAAGCTGCCGACGATGGAAATCTCCCGCGAGCTGACCGTGGGCGCGAGCCGAGTGCCCGTCGCTGCCGCAGGGCACGGTGATGCCGACGGCCCGGCGCTCCCATGCACAGGCATGCCGGCACCGAACGTGGTGGGCGTTGAGCTGGGGCCGGCGCTCTGTCCTGGAGGCAAGAGCAGAAACGCCAGCTACCGACCCGGTGCCTCCAGATGCTCCCCAAGTCCTCCCGTCCTGCGGCTCTGCTCCCAGCCACGGTGATTGCCTTCGCTCCGTCCCGGCGAGGAGCCGGATCCTGCCCTGAGGATGCTGCACCGTTGGCCCTGCTCCTTCCCGCGGTCGTGCTGGGGTGGGCAGGATCCGGGGCTGAGCCCTGGGTGGGGGGTTTTCCCCTTGAAACCCTGTTATTTTTCACAAAAGGAAATAAAACTACAGCTGCAACTTGCTGCGTGAGCGTGGTCAGTGGGGGAAGCCGCTCGCTCCTTGCCCGTCGCCACCTTCTCCCCGCCAGCGCTCGAGCGTCACCGTGCCCCTGGAAGCACCTCGGGATGGGGCTCCGGTCCAGCCCCAGAGTGGGGCACAGGGCCAGGCATGGCCCCAGCCCGAAAGCATCACCCAGACGCCTCCATCGATGGGCACCGGGCGATTTTGGGGTGTCCATCACAAACCTGTGATGGAGCGAGCAGGCAGCGTACGGTTTGCTGGAGAGATACGGGCAGCAGGATGCGGGGGATTAGGTAAACCAGTTCAGGGGGTGCCTGAGAAGCCGAGGAGTGCGAGTCACTGGTGTGTATCTCACAGCCAGGAACTGCAGGACGCCCCGTGCCTGCTTCTTCCAAACCAGGAATGAAAAGACAGATTAGGACGAAAAAGGACCTGCACAAAATCAACCCAGGGGCACCCAGTGGATTTTCAACCAATCTTAAGTTCTCGGTCAGTTCAACACTTGAGCTAATCAAGACTCTTCCATCTCACTATATTTTTAACAGAAAAAAACCCCAACCCTATCTCAAAGTTTTCCCGTTGAAAGTCGCAATTTTGTTTTCTGTTGCAGATTTCATTCCGAGCTGCGCCCACCCAAAGGTGATTCGTGGTGTTTATAGTCACGTTTCATTCCCCTTCCTGAATTTCTTGGCCAACTTCCATTTCCCAGGACCCAGCCTGGCTCCTCCCTACCTGCACCAGCGCTGCGTTGTGGGGACCACGGTGTCCTCGGGCTCCCAGCCCGTGGCGGTGGGCAAC